TGAGTCTGCCCGAAACTTGCGAACCTACACGTGTTCCCATCCTCGAGAGGCCGGCTTTCTTCTTCAGATCTTGGCGCGTTACATTGTCAAACACATGGCGTTTAATGCTCGCGGCAAAGCGTATTGCTACTCGGGTCAGAGAAGCGGGATCCTTTAATCTTCGGCAGCCATGCTAACAGGGTTTTTCTGTTCCGGCCGAGTTACACGTTCAATGTGCGTAAACCATCGCGGTTTTACTCCTTCGATTCGTGGTACACAATTTTTCCTAGAAACGTGTAATGTAGTTAACATTACTGGACTCTTTAACCCTTTGCTTTATAAGCTGAGGTTGAAAGAATTTTCTGTCGAGATTGACCAGTCGAATGCGGTTTCATTCATCGTTGTCTAAAGAATTACGCCATTCTTGTACATAGAATCTCCAGTGTTGTATATCGAAAGATTCTCCATCGGCGTTAAATCACTTTCTATTCTCTGTGCTGATGAAACGAATCTAGTTGCACAATTCCAAACATTTTGCAGCCTCTTCGTGCACGCGTTTCGTCATTCTTGCTTATTTCACCGCGAAACCTTCCCATCTACAGTCTCCTTCGTCCCATCTAATTATCATACTATTATTCGAACGTTTACCCAAACGGTTGGCTAATTAAAAACGACGAGACTTAATGTTCAGAGACCGAGGAAAAGTAGCCGATTCCGAGGAATCCGGTTGCGGGATTTCGCGATCCCCGGGGAGGCGGTAACGAGGAAACGTCTGGATGGAAAAGAGCCGCGATATGGCTCGTTCGCCATGAAGAACGGGCATTGTCGTCGTCGAGAAGCGAGGCGACGATCAATTAAGCGCATCCCGCAAAGTGCTAAGACGTTTATGGCCGACATCTTATTATACGTAGCGCATAGGGTGTACGGCAAGACGACGGGTCGGGTCGTCGTCCTCCTGTACACGATCTCGACGAGGAGGCAACGAAGAAAACGGAACCGTGAAGCCCCACTGGGGCAACGTCGTCTCCAGCCGGATGTCTTACAAGATTCTGTTAAGGTAGTTTCGACACGAGCCTCCGTATCGATCGTCACGTCGAATTAATTGGCCCTTCTTAACGCGAATATTCGTCGACCACGCGAAGGTTTTCCATTTCACAGGTATCCTATATCAAGGTGGAAAAATGAGAGTAATTATTTCATGGAGAAACAGAATCGAATTTTTACCTGCGTATGAGTTACTTACTCGTGTATCGTTTCAAGTAAGTTCTATGTAATTCTGTATAATGGTTACGCCAATGTCAGGCACGCAAGACAATGCGTATCACGCGTTACGTGGGAGAAAGAGAGCGAGTTGGTTCATCAGGCGAGCCACTTATCCGACGAGAGTCGTAAATCAGGCCTGGGATAAATGAAAGGGGGCTATACGTTTCTGGGAGAACCGTGAGTCCAGGTAACGTTGAGTCACGTCGAGGTCTGCGTTGGCGGGGAACGATATTAAGGCGGACGAAATTCGCCCTCCGGAAATTTGTAGGGCCAACAGACTGCCTTGTGCCACTCGCGTAACAAGCTGCGACCAATTTAAAATTTCTTCCACATTGCAGTTGCGATTTTGAAACGATTCAACAAATTTGATTCCAGATTTCTAATCAGCATCCACGAAGCATAAAAATAATGTAAAAGAAAGTGAAATATTTCTTGGCTAGTTTAATTTAAGGCAGCTTAAAAACATCGCCTTGGGCTTCCATCAGGCGAAACTGTTAATTAAAGTTAATGCATGCGACCCGCCACTATTATCCCGGACCACGTCAGCTGGTGCACGAGCCAAGCTGCGACGAGGACGTGCTTACGTCCGGCCTTCTTTTCTCTGCTAGTCGCCGCGAGTTCTCGCGCGAATTTGTTCGGGACTGGGGCGCGATCGCAACCGGCTCGATACCCCCGAGGTAGAAACTTAATCTCCTCGAGAGCGTGTTCTCGCCGCTCGAGCCGTGCCTTCAGGCCTGATTCACGATTGCTTATTGTGTGAACTGTGTGCGGATAATGTTGGATGGTTCTTGTAACCGGGCGATATTTGATGGTCGGTTTTAAGCTGGTAGCAACGGTGAAGTTGTTTGACGAGGATGTTGATGAGAAACATAGGGGGATGAATTTATTGGATGAGGTCTGCGGTGTTCTACTAGGAGGAGGAAAAATAACTAACGATAAGTCAAACTCTATTACGTTTATTTGTTTGAAAGATTCTATACAGCATCGTGTCATTCCATGTTAATCAAGTCCGACAACACGAGCCTTATCGAATCCATATTCCAAGAAGGCGAATCCCTCGCGACAGTTTCCATCTTCTCTCCATTAACCGCGTCTCCGGTAACACGTCACTCATACGATTTCCTTCGAGAACATCCCCTCTGTGGTGGTCACAAGTCCAATAATTCATTGCAGGGATCCGACCTTTCAACGACGATCGACCCTTAGCATCTGCGGAACGAGAACCCATCACCCTATCTTTCGCACGGTCAGGGGCGTTTTTCTTCGTGGATGACTCCCAGACTCGTTCACCTACGCTTACCAAAAAGACCCTTTGTGTTACATTTTACAAGTCAACGGGGAAACGGAAGTAGGAGGCTCGTGAACAACAGACAGCGTTCATGGTGCACCAAAAGGAGGAACCTGGCAAAGTCTAACACAGCAGGCACGAAGGATGTACCTTCCGCGAGTCTGCTTCTCGTCCTATACGATACGATCTATTTCTCCAGCATAATAACGCCATTATCCAGACGGCCCGGCGCGTGTTGGTGGCCGCGGCGATGCTTTCACCGAAACGCGGCCGATTAACGAGCCTAGCTCGTCGGAAACCGGGGATAACGGCGGCTGTATTTCGCGGGTTAAGTGTTTGGAAGCGTGCGAGGAATTTGGAGATTGTTTCCGTCCCGCTGGCTGTAATGAATGTGCGTGTACGTTGCTGGTGTGCAGAATTGGAGAGAGAGAAATCCAGATAGCGTGAACTTTGTGCCTGGAAATTGATTCGTAGCCGTGGAGTCTGTTATAAACGATAGGGAAACTTCCTATTCAACTTGCTAATTTAATTGTACAATTTTGTAATTCAGAGATGTCCTTCTTAATAAGTATAATAATATGAAAATTCAAGGGAAAATTGTCCATTTACAAAATTCAAATAATAATTTAAAGAATCTTTTTTGTGAAAACCATGAAGGTTCATGAATAAAGTTAGCTTTTCACTTGCATAGTGCAACCAAGCACTACTTACACCATTACGATTCATTAGGCTAACACGAAAACGAAAGAACTTTCGTGACCCGATTATCACGAGGGGATCTCGTCCGTTGAATATTTCATCGCTGGATCTACAAAGGAATTTCTCCTTCCCGCTAGTTAGGATAACATTAAGCCGTTCGATAAACGCATTAGGAGGTAAGAGAGTATGGTAACCAATCGAGTTAACATCCTGGTCATCCGTCGCGTAGCTGGAGTCCTAGCAACAGCAGCGAGCGAGTTGCAGTCGTTGCAACAGCTCTGCAGCTATGCTACCAATTGAATTAAAACTTTCATAGCGAAGCCGGCTGTGCGTCGTATTAAAGGTGCTATATGAGTTCAGTCAGTATTTCAATAATCTAAAAATGGAATTTCGTGTTAATACTAAAGTGTAGAGCGAAGTGAAACAGCATCAGTCTTATAGCGACCACCGAAGGGTGCAGATCTACCTAAACATACATATATCCTTATTTTATTTTCTGCGTTCATTTAATTCGCTGCATTGATTTTCTTAACTTATTGAATAAATTCATTAAGAGAAAGAACATTTTGATTTTATTACCCCTGTGTGCATCCTTTACATCTCTAATTCCTTTAAATCTCTGCACCCCTTACGTCCTTGCATTATGTACATCCCAACATTCCTTATACCACTGCATCCATTACATCACTGCATCCTCTACACCCTTGCTGTATTTATATCTCTGTATCCTTTACATCTCCGCATCCCTTACATTCCTGCATTTCTTACACCCATGCAACGCTTATATCCCTGTAGCCCTTACATCTCTGCATTCCTCACATCCTTGCATTCTTTACATCCCTGCATCTCTCACATCTCTATATCCTTCGTTGCGCCCTATAGCGGAAAAAGTTTGAATTAAATTTTTTTCGAAAAATTAGCGCCCACTAGCGGCAAGAAAAGGAACTAAAGTATGAATAAATTTTGCGCCCTCTACCGGAGAAAGTTTGGACTAAATCTTTCTCGAAAAATTAGCGCCCTCTGGTGGCGGAAAAAGGAACTAAAGCCGGCAAAATTTTTGGCCCTCTGGCGGGAGAAATTGGAACTAAATTTTCGATGTCGGATCAGCGCCCTCTGGTGGCGGAAAAAGGAACTAAAGCTAGCAGAAATTTTGGCCCTCTAGCGGGAAAAATTGGAACTAAATTTTCGATGTCGGATCAGCGCCCTCTGGTGGCGAAAAAAGGAACTAAATCTTGCAAAATTTTTGGCCCTCTGGCGGGAAAAATTGGAACTAAAATCTTCACGGTGTAACAGCGCCCTCTGGCGGCAAAAAAAGGAACTAAATGATGAATCCATTTTGGCTTTACTTACCTTTACTTACCTTTACTCGAACCAGTTTTTGTAATATATTTATATTATAAGTGTTCCAGGCATGTAAGGGATGCAGGGATATAAAGGAAGCAAAGATGTAAGGAATGTAGAGATGTAAGGGATGCAGGGATGTACTGAGTGCCGATATGTAACGGATGCAGAGATGTAAAGGATACAGGAGTGTAATGTATGCAGAGATGTAAGAGATGCTGGGATATAGGAACATAGGGCTGACGCTGTGAGGTCCCCAAAGACAAAAAAAATAATAAATAACTGGAAAGAGTGAGTCGAGGCTCATGAAGAGAAATAAAATAATAAATTACTTGGGAGAAAGTGGTCCTCGCGAGGCCCACAAATAGGGGTAAAACAATAAATAAGAGGATAGTGAGGCGAGGTTCACAGGTGAAATAAAGTCATCAAGTCATCCTTCTAATGAGTATATTCAATAAGTTAAGAAAACACATACAGCAAATTGAATAAACGTAGAAAATGAAATAAAAGTATTTGTATGTTTAACAGGTAGATCCGCACCTCTCGGCGGTCGCTATAAGACTGAGTGGATTTTACTTTGCTCTGCGGTCAGCCATGGCGTTCCCCTTCGTCATCGCGGCCAGCATTCGGTCTGTGGGCACAAATTCAAAACCGCTTGAAAACAAAGTCGAGTCTTTTGTATCTGTAGTCACTGTCAAAGTGCTGCCTTCCTGCAGCGCCGAGCATCCGGTTCGGTTTATCTCTTCTTCCTTCCCTTGCAGTCTGGCCTGGTCGAGCGTGTACCTGGCGCGTTATCGGCGTGCTCGAGCGATACGCGGCGAAGTGGGTTCACGAAAGAAGAGTTACAGGAACACTTTGGGTCCACGAAGAACCAGACACGGTTCAGCTCGAACGCGACGATAACCGCTTATCGATTTGCGGTTGCCTCGAATGTGCTCGAGCAATCTGACGAGCGCCAGGCATGCGCCGGCTACCAACCGATCCGAATGTCCTCTCCGAGCGGATCGAGTTCCTCGGCTTCTGGAACGTGTGCTCGATCATCCGGTACCTCGCCGGAAGAAGTTACTCGCGAGCTTCCTCGACGAACGACCACGTATTTCGACTGTACGTGGGCCACCACGAATACTGATCCCCGCCCTGTTTCAGGACTGGACGCTTGCATTCGTTGGATTCTGATATCTCAACTACGGCTGAACCTCGGGGGAGGACACTGACCCTTTCATAACACAATCGTCTGTAGATCGATTCAAAATTCTTCATGAATATTAAGACAGACACGAAAGGATTAACTGTAAAATAAAAATTTAGAAAGAGATTGTATCAGTGAAATAAATCTTTTCTTTGAAAGAACATAAGACTTGAATTATTTCGAGGCACAAAACAGTGCTGTTGAAAAGACGATTATTTTCCAATATTCTTACCGCTGGATGCGCTACCGCGAAGCGATTAAAAGAAATACATTACCCTTCTTACGAACCATTAAGTAAGAGAACCAATAAAGATATCCCTGCGAAAGTGCTGTAGTGCTTTCAGATACGTTATCATAACTCTGAACGAGTTGGTACAGTAGCGAGGACATCGAGGATCAGTTACAACTTCGTAAAACGCGAGACGATCATCCCTGTCTAAAGGTCCTCGCGATACTTGATAAAGATTGCCCTGTCTCGACGGGTACCAGTGATTTCTTTCGGTAATAAAACGGTGGGCTCGTGCTATTAAAACTTTCAATGTATTCTTACTATGGAAGATAGATTTGTGTTTAACTATAGGTGACATAAGATACTATACCTATGTTTAACACTTATTTGTCATCTGTTTCAATGACAAAAAAAGGAAACCTTTAAAATTAAAATATTCCAAAGTACCCAAATCTCATGGAGAATCATCGTCTACGATTCGTCTGGCTTCGAGAGGAACGAGCGCAACCCGCCACAGTCGTTACGATTAATAAGCCTACAGCCTTAAATAACGCCGGGACATCGCGGCGGATGACAGTTATGACAGCGACGAGCCATTGTTCGCCGGGTAGCAGTAATTATCGGGGTTACGAACCAACCCGTCCGTGTCACAGAGAACGAGAGAAGCTCACCTATCCGCGCGGCATTTCAACCTCACAGACCGACACAGAGGGGGTCCACTTCATGCGCCATTTAGAAGGGTAATGAAAAGACCGGCGTCGGATATGACGGGGGAGAATAATTGCGTACACGCGAGGACGTTCCCGGCGTCCTTCTTGGCGCGACCGTCTTTTCCGCCAGCCTGTCCAGACGATCCGTCCACGTCCTTTCGCTTACCTCTCATGGACACCAGCTTCCGTACAACACGGCTGTCTACTCTAATTTCATCCTTGGACCGTTCGGCATCCGACGGATAGATAGAGACAGCTCCAAGGACTACGACGTTGTTTTGATCCTTGCTAGCCATCATTCGCGTTAGCAGACGCCTAGGAATGCATGGACGTTGACGATCGACGATGGAACGTTGAGAACCTTCCTCCTTGTATCCCGGAGCGACACTCGGCCGGTACACGCGGAATTTTAAGACCTAGAAGGGTTCTAAATTGGATTTTTTAATAGGAGAAGTTGAATAGAATCGAGGGTGAATAAAATATTTAAATTTACTTCTGAGTTATTGATGGCTCGGTGAACGCAAATTTCTAACGTATGTGCAAACTGTGCATTCTTACAGATGCTCCGTTTTATTATGCCACCATTCCAGTCCGTAAAACGGCGATATTCCGTAGGGTACGGCATTTCCCGGGTAAAAACGACAGCAAACCGCTGTGCCGTTCTTATACTTTCAGATCAGTTGAATCCGGCAGCGAAGAATCGGAATCCTCCTTCCGCGATTCACCCCCTGCAAAGACGATTCGGTGGTCAGTCAACGACCAGCTATATGTTCGAAGCTTCCTTTCAGCCTGGTCCGTGCCACTTGGACGAGAAAAAAAAGAGGAAAAACGAGGCGGACGGAGAGGAGAACGATAGAGGAGGAAGCGAGAGGATCGAAAAGGGGAGTCTGGTCAATGCTCGCGAAAATTGGCTTCTAAATCTTGCGGCCGGAATGAGTAGCGCACTCCCCCCCGTGGTTACTTCACCCCCGCCGGTCTACTCACGACCCTTTCTCCCGGTTTCGACGAAACTGGAGGGAATGAGAAACTACCGTGGTTGGAAAAGGGAGCCGAACCGAGGTGGAAGGCCATTGTCGACGACGTGGGGGCTTACGAACCCCACGAAAATCCGCGAGGCAACTTTGTGGAATGGACTTTCATAAGTTGCGTTCAATGGGACATTGGTATAAAGAGGATATAAGGACTAAGGAGGGTGGTCACGTTTCCGGTTGAACGGAGTTTCCTTCTCCTTTCGACTATGTTTTTGTCTTTCGACTTTGCAACGATGTCGCAGTTCTCTCGATCACTATTATCCTCTTTATACAATGGTGTTTTCTTTTTCTTTATTTCTTATTTTCATTTTTCATGCGTACCTTTGGTCTTAGCTGCTCTCCCGGGAACAGTCCGGAAGGACCCACTTCACACCGTACGATCCCAGCGGCCTGCAAGAAAATCCATTACCAGACAACATCGATATGCAGTCACTAAATTATTTCCTCGAGCCACGTGACACGACCCAATCGTTTCGACTTCCATCCACGTCTAGCGATCCGAGAAAAAAAAGCGAAGCAGAGTTAATGAATTACCGTAGAACGCGTCAAGCACCAGCTGCAAGGATCCCCTCGAATACGACACCGGTAGCCGATAAAAAAAAAAAGAAAATCCGAGGAAAAACCGAGAAATCCGAAGGGAAAAAGAATACAAGCTAAGCACCCTCGGTCGTATTTGTATTCCCGTGGAATCCTAGGACCCTCACGATCGTCCTGGCAGGTACGCGGACTCGAGGAGGAATTCTTGGGTCGCGTATGGCATCGGTGACGCTATCTGGGACGGTTATCGCGGCAGGAAGCTTCGTGTTCGCGGGGAATACGCACGTGCGTGGCCCACGTGCACTTGAGGACCGACTAACGTACAGTGCAAACACGAAGAGGCTGCCGGGTGTGGTCCCGTCCAAGGAAACGTGATCCCCGTGGTAAACCGCTGTTTACCGAGCAGGAGAAGTGGCCCTCCCCTGAGACATCGTCTACACCCGCTTGATCGATGTCCCTGTTAATCTCTGTTTAAGACGACCGCCACGATTCCTTCCGGCTATCTCAGCGCCAAACGAACGCTTCCGCTCGTAACGCGTCGCGAGCATCCTCAGGTAAACATCGAACCGTGTAGACGAGGTGCGATAATGAGGGACGGCTCGAGGAAGCAGGGGAGAGATTTCCTATTGATTTTCCCTCGGGTCCGCGAGATTTTTCGGGACAGATAAAGATGAGCACGGTCTATGGGAATTTCTGTGAAACGAGGATTCTTCCGTTTACTTGCTGATATATGGCTAGTGTGTTTGCTGAATGTTAAAAATGTGAAGAAACCAGGAGTTCGAAGGGGATGGATAGTAAAACGTTCTTCTTCGTCGTTGTTTATTAATTTCTGGTTGTTAATTTATCTTAAGAGTTATGAAATAAATAATATAAAAGTAAAAAGTGTAATAGTTTTATATTACATACCTTACCCTTTCCTACCGCACTATAAATCTTAAAAAGTAGATTAAAAAAGTTGCAATTGCAGTTTTGAACTCTTTAAAATCTACCTCTACTTAATTATCTTTTTAAAGACTTCCTGAGTAGAGTTTAACCGTTTCAACATTAGATTAAAAAATTTTCGCTTCATCCTCCCTTTCTTAAGGGTTCAAAGTAGCGACCGAGCACGAGGGAGTCGGGTGTGGTAGGGATTCAAGTTGAAAATTTCTTTTTTAGAGTTACGTAGAGGAATAAAAATGCACGTTGAAACGCATTTTACATTAGCAGCCTAGCGCAAGGATAACAGCGCAGGAAAAATTTCGCCAGGGTGGCATAGAAAGGATCTCTTCTGGCAGGAGTACAACCGCTTTTCACGGCAGGAAGCTGTCTGTTTGTTGTCTTAGGTCGAGTCCACATGAAACGCGAGCGTCTCGATGCCGACGTCGTTTGGAATACCACGGTTCGATCCTAAAGAAACATACGAGGCGCCAGCAGTTACGAACGGGTTATGGGAAAACAATGGTTTCCGGATAGCGAACGAGCACCTGCGACTTCCACTATTTCCTTCGCTATCCCTTCACCACCGACGATTTATTTCTTGATTCCGTAATTAACCGACTGGGTTCTACGAATTTTTCCATGTAAAAGAAAATTCGTAGAAGATTACATTTAAATTATTAATAGAACTAATAACAATCATTACATTGCGATACATCCTCGACGTCAGACTTCTCGAGCGTTAATTTCTCTAATTAACCAGTAGAACAGTCATCGATTCGATCCAGGAAATAGTTAAAGAAACGTGACACGGATCGAAGATCGATGCACGCGAGTTCCTCCTGCAGAATTCCGCACGCGCAAACTTCCACGTCCGTGTCCACGAGCAATCGATTACTCAATCGAATATCGTCTTTCACAAGCGGTGGTCTGGTCCGTCGGACGGACGTTGACACGACACGACTACTACTACTACGGTTGTACAAGCCGAGGAGATAATATTACGTATCGGGGATGTTATGGAGGTCATCTTTACATACGGAGCCCTGACAGCTGCGTAATCGATGCGACCGCGACTACCATGGAAACCATAGTTTTCCAACCAACGACAACTTTCTCTTTCCGTGTGGCGGGTCCCTGGTGCTTGCTTGCCTGCCTGCCTGCTTGTCGTCGATTCGTTTCGTCCATCCACGGAGCCGTGGGCGATCCCATCGATGGAAAAACTCGACATGGCAACTCGCCTGGGAACGAACTTTTCGCCGATCTAACGAAGCCACTCGGATAAGCCGATTACTTTCGTCGACGAGACACGACGAACCTGGGGAAACTCATCCGTTACGCGATAAACAAAACTTCTACTCCTCTGGCGACGAGGACTCGATAAATCAATTAATTTCCCTCGTGCAGGAGTAATCGAATGGGTTTGAACCGACTTTGAGATTTTTCGTTAGAATTTGCTAATCTGTCGATAGAATTTAGTATATCTTTATTAATAGAATATTAGCCACTTTGCCAATGATTTGTTCCATAGCTGCGTCAATCAGAGCTAACTATTCATTGCTTCGATTTTAAAACAAATAGAGAAGAATGAAATATTATTCAACGATCCTTGACTGAGCAAATTAAATTAGAATTAAACTCGACACGAGTTGCGTCACGAGTGTGAAATAAAATTCGTGATCATAAAAATGTTGTAATAGTTGAAGAATTCAGAGTGTAATCAATATTATTAAAATAGACACTTTGTACAGACTTACCCTTTCTATGGATCCTCATCAACGTTCCACCAATTCTCTTCCCAACTGCAACATCAGAAACAATGATCCTTGGTAATCATGAAGGGAGGCCAATCTCCAGCGAACCAAGATCTCCCTCGGTCCGTTCGAAGATCCTTTATTACGGGGTTCCTCGAAAGTGGAACTCCGAGTGGCCGGAGGATTAAGATATTATATAGCAACGACGTTTACACGGCACATGGACGGATCCAGCTCAAATTACAGCACTCGTTACGAGCCACCGACGTCTCGAGTTCCGGCCGCACTTTTAATGAGTTCCTCGACACGGTCAATTAGTCCCCGGGTACCGAACACCCGACGATTCGGATCTACGCGCGACGGGGATCGTCGGTTCGATCTCGCGGAGAGAATAAGCGAGCGCGGGACACCCCGCGAAACGGATGTTTACATCGTCGTGGCAATCGAGGCTCCCGTTTACGACACTCGCGAAAGATAACGACGCTTTCGACGTTTATGTCGCTTTTGGAAATTGTCACGACGCCTTCGTAAAGTTCCCTGGGGACATTTCAGTTTCGCCAAGTTTCGCCAGAGATTTTTATTGCGCTCGCTTCTGTGTGCCAGTCACCGAAGCTCGCGTCGCTCTTCAAAGCGTTAAGTGGGAGCTGAAGAGCGTAATGTTGTACGTACATAAATGCGCCCCCCTAAAACGTGTTGCTCCCTCTTGTTCGGGGCGCGAAGATTCATGGCAAATATTTCGAACGTATCGTTCCAGTGAAACGGTTTATATCGTCGTTACGTGTAACTACTTTCTCGACACCTTATAACTCGTCAAAATTGTCCCGCTTTCCTGTTCGTCTTTTTACGAATTCAAGGGTGTTTCCTGTAATTTCGGACTTTATGGAGACTCTGTTTAAATCGTGAATGTAATATTATAGGTTACCACCAGCAAACACATCGTAACTTTCTTCTTACACTTAACTCGACCCTCAGCCATCCCTTCGCGCGGTGCTAATTACCAGCGCGCGTAACAAAAGGGTTCTAATGCCTCGAAAACGCGACTCACCACGATCCGTGTCTGAATTCCGAACGGCCGCGCAAAGCTCCATTTGTTCGGCACGTCCAATCGCGAAATCCGTGGTGTGCCGCAGAAAAATGTTATCCAGACCGCAGAGTAGACGCGGAGAATGTTTCCATTCGATTGGCCCGCTAATTGTCGGCCGGACGATCGATGTTTGCCTTAAAGCAGACCTGCCCGATAGAATTGACTAACCTTTTCTCTGATTTTCAAGTAGCTGGGCGAAAAAGTTCAACGCTGACAGCAAACGCGTCAACGCTTTTTCCAAATTTAGGGAAGTCCATTAGTGGAGCAGGTGAAACAGAGTTTTTCTATTTTTGTCACCTGTGTTCCTGGCAACTGGACGTTGCGGAAACCGTGTAGTTTTTCAGCGAAAAGCTGGGACCGAGCATCGCGTAAAACTTTTGGTCGGCCGTTTCGGGGGTGAAAGGTCGAAGGCTGCTTCCACGCTGCCTTCTCCTCCCCCACCTACTCTTTTCTGTCGTTCCTCACCCTTCTGTTCGGGGTTAGAGGGAGCCGGGTAATGAGCTTCCCAGGCCGGTTGTAACGAGCAAAAACTTATCGTCACTCTCCCTCCTGATTTACTCGACCTGCCACGTCGTTAGTTGTACTGGCATCGTCGTCCCTCACCCCCTCTCCTGACTAGCTGTCCTAAAAAGCCACCAACATTCTGGACCGTCGAGCATCGACGCAGCCGTCAGTTTGTTCCCTCTTCCACGTTTTTCTGGCGGTTCGGTTCTTTGGAAATACGCTTTGCGACGCTTCTTTCCGATCGAACCGGACGGAGCGTATCGACGATAGGATGTTTTTAACCCGTTGAGTGGCGACGCTGCTGAAAGGTGATCAATGTTGCTTTCGTGCCTTTTATCGCGTCATTCTGTGCGAGATAATGTGTATTCACAAATTTCAGTCAATAAAGTCAAAATCCTAGTCGCACTAATAAGAGGTGACTAAACCGAGCACTATTATCTAATCGAGAAATGATTTGTAGATCTCTAATCAGCGCATAAAATTCTGTAAAAAAATTTAGTTCGTCAATGTTATCGAACGGAGTTTCCAAAGTTGAAAGAAACAGAATTTATTCGTCAATGGTGATCCTCTGAAAATTCACTGTCGGAAACCATCTGTACCGTTTCATTTACAGATCCAGGGAAAGAAGTCTCGGTTCGAGGAAGCGGTCTTTACGTCAGGGATGCGAGTAGAAGAATCTGACCCTGTTTCTACTGCACGAGTCACCGATAACCCTGTTACAAGAGCCGTGCGCAGCGATGGCCTCCGTAACGCGATAATTTCGACGGATGATAGACTATTTATTGTAAAGGATGTAGAGTACAGATCGTAAATAACCGACAGATAAGTTCCCGGTACTAATTGGTCACGGATGCGACTCTATGCAACTGCATGCTTTATGCGCCCAGCCCATTTGTGATATTTTTATTACCGATAAAACCGGTCCCCTATTTCCTGGAAAGAAACTTAACATTTTTCCAATAAATAGATACGATTAATTGAATTACAAAGCTACGGCTCTCTGTAATGAAAATTAATGATAATTCTTCGACACAAATAATAAAATAGACGAGGTGACTGGATAATGCAAACATGTCGTTTCCCCAAATACTTGAAAAATAGTAGTCGGACCCTTCTTTTTTTTTTTTAAACGCGAAGAGCGTACAGCCGTGAACCGTGAGTTATTTAACTCGTTTGTCTTAATGAGAGTTACTTGATCCCTCGTGTCGAGCTGTCGCTGCAGGAGCTCGTAACGCAATAAAGCAAAAAGCTAATGGCGCTCGTTACCGCATTGTTCGGTGATAAAGATCTACACAATGCCCGCTCATGGCCGCGTTCGTTCGAATGCATTTCTGCCGTCGACACGTGTTCCTCTCTTCGTTACCCTAATTGCGTAAATTGAGTGTAATCTGTCAGGATGGACGTATCGGGCGTCGCCCTCAAATCGTTTCTTGATACTTTGAGCCCGAACCGTGCCACCAAGATTCATGGAACATTTCATTTTGAATCGTGGTAACGATTCAGCGCGGAGTAAATGGAACGAGAAGATCTTTCAACACCGATGGACTCGATCCAAGAAACTGCTACCGTATTCCTCTGCATCGTCTTTCCTTTACGCTTCCGTTGCACCGATTTTCAGTAGTTCTAGATTAGAGAATAGTTCACGGTTCTTATTCATTCTATTAACCCTTTAACCGCAAACGATTATTTTATCAGGGGTACGTAAAAGTTTTAAGCTTCGGTTGAATTCAATCAAGGTTTTCAAGTCAAAGAGCAAAGAATAAAAGGGTCGAAGAGGGCGAAGAAGAATTAAAGTCAAAGAATTGCAGAGAATCAATGAGCACAAAGCAGAATAAAAGTCAAAGAATTAAAGAGAACAAAAGTCACGAAATTAGCTTCCGTTGAATATTATACAAGGGAACTTTGTAATTTCTTAATTAATCTCTTTTATTTTAAGTCCAATCAGTTCCACTTTTCAGCGCACTTTTTATCGAATAAAATTGAAACTTTGTTCCTTTTTCTGTCAAATACATTTTCTTCTCAAATAGGTCTTTGCGAAGGTTCACACTAACACGTTCGATGCTTACAAAAAATTCACAAAGCTTTGTATATTCTATTCTCCAAATCTTCTGATCTTCACCAAAGTATCCTCGCAATCTCAAAATTCACTCGACAAAGAGAAATCTAGGGGTGTCCGCACAGAAACACGCCCTCCTCACTCTCGTTCACGAGACGAGCAACGAGAAACGTTTGAGAGAAATCACGAAAATACGTAGGCTCGTTAAGTGCACAAACTTATAGCGGGTTTCGACCGAAAGGAACGGGGGAAATAAATTAAAATAATGGCAGCTCGGTTAGTTGGTTCGAGCTAAGCGTTGCGAACGGACGCGCGTCATTTCAGAGTCGCGTCCAATTATGCTTGAAACCAGTTTACCGAGGGTTGAGACGGCTGCTGAATGGTGGCTGACTGAAACGAGAGGCTGGACCAACTTTCCAAGATGATCGAACCGACGTCCCGCGGCGAATAGTTACTTCTGTAATGATTACATTAGCTTGGTGTAAATTATACGCGTCGCTGGTCCGTGGCTGTTCGAGGAGGAGGGCTCCTCGATTAGAAATGGCCGAGATAACAAGTGGTCGTTTTATCTGGTCAGCCGATCCTGTCATGCTCCACTGAGCCAGTTCTCGTCCAGCGGATGCTGATGGGAGGAAACGATTTCATGGCGTGCACCGACCGACTGATAATGACATTGCACGAGCCGACCGCGACGACGGGAACTCGTGGCAATTTTTCGGTGAAAATGATTGCTGATTTATGCTGTCGTTAACCCTTTAAAGATAGACGTATCCTACGAGTTTTTTTTAATTTTAAATTTGACAGACATCAACAACTCGCTTCAAAATATTTCTGATCTCTAGTATTTCCATTAATTAATAGAATTCATCCGATTCTTGAAAAGAAACACCATTTCAACATTGTATTTGTAGAACACTTGATGCTTTTCTCGTTCGTCAATCCGCTTCCCAACTTTTAAGCTTGAACTAGCGTTTGAAAACGATGTCAACGAGTAAAACGTACGTGAACCGAGGGTTTTCATAGAAAAACAAGTGGTAAGATAAGAGTGGAAGAGTAGTGAAGAATGGAGCCGGAGTAAAAATGTGTAGCAGAGAATAAACTGGGGCGGTTAAGTAGTAGAGAGCGGAGGAGCAGTAAAGGAATGAAAAATGAGGTTGAACGAAACAGGAACAGGGAATAAAGTATAAGAGCAGTGGAGAACGGTGTACTGCTAGGATGAAATAAAAAATAAAGTGGAAGAGAGGAAACAGTGGAGGATAGAATGGTGTAATAAAGCAGTGGAAAAAAGATTATCGTGGTCCATAAAATTTACTCGGTCACTCTTGACGAATAATCGCTTCGTTGTTTCTCATTATGAATCATTGTTGATTCTTCGAATTAAAACAACACGTTGTATCGTTCCACTAAAAGTTAACAAAGCGTTTCGACTCGAAGAAATATCGTACAGCTGGAAGCTCGATCATCGTCGTATAATTTGATTTCGTTTAAACGATCATTTCATCCTCGCTTTCCTAGCTTCAGAAAGTATCAGTTAGCCAAGAAACCAGCACCGGCAACAATATATTTCTATTACGGTATCCAACCACACTCCGAGCAGATTAAATAACACGATTACGGTCTTGATTGCGCGGTATTACATAGTAAAACTCGTTTCTCGGAATCGTTGCCAAAATTCTCTTCTTTTCCTCGGAAGAGGCGGTTAATAATTAGCGGTTCTCCAGGGAAGGAGGATGCCGTCGCGGAAGACGCCGGGCGTCCTGCCAGACGCGTCGTCGTTATTCTGGTTAAGAATCGCGTTTCGGACGATTCCTAGCGATGAGGCCCGATTAAAATACATAGCCACGATGAAATACGCGATCGCCGTAGGAAACGGGAAACCCGTTAATGGAAACGTTTCCGATGAGATCTCTGGAGCGTACCGCGTCTACCACTTAGAGGTTAATTATTCATTTCCACTGGCTGGATAACAAGTTGAATTACAGTGGAACTTCCGACGGTGTTCGGGACAAGATTCAGAGAACTATAGGATTATTCAATTGAGTGTCGCATCTTCAAATTGAAATAAAACCCAAAGTATGTGATTTTTTTATGGTTTCTTTATTTTAACACAAAGTCTACTGTATGACATTAATTATCAAAGATAATATTATTTAAAAGTCCTCCTCGGCTTTTTTCACGATATTATCACACAAGTGGAATTCAATTTCATCAATAGCAATTGTGATTTTGTTGCTCAGCTCGTCAATAGTCTTTGGATTATTGGCGTAAACTTCACTTCCCATAAACCCCATAAAAAAAGTTTAATGGTCTTATCTTGGTGGCAATTGGTGTCTTCTCCTTGTTAAAAATTACTCGTTCGTTAAATTTGGTCAAACGTATCAAGGACTGTTGAATGATAAAATAGACTTTGTATTAAAATAAAGTTACCATACAAAAATCAAATACTTTGCGTTTTATTTTAATTTGAAGATGTGACACTCAATTTGAATAACCCTATAATATAGAAGATCTAATATGCAAATGAAATTTAAAGGACCGTTCTTATAATATATAATTCCGTAACATTTAAAACATATTATGAATATTAATGATTTAAAAAAATTGAAAAAATACTGACTGCTCTTCAATATCATTAGTACCTAATTACACTTCAACCATATATCACCTATTTTCCAAGACCCTCATCGCTCCCTCTCTAAACTTCCCCGAAGAGCAACAAGCAATTTTCTATGACAGTCAGCAGTAAACTCTGGCGAGTCATCGTGCAGATTGGTCGCGAGGAAAGCGACTCCGTACACGCTGAAGAGATGCGTGTTTGCGTTGCGTCTGAGAGGACAACGTGGTCCCCGGAGCTTCGAAAGCTGTCCGTTCAAACGTGAACGGATGTTTCCTTGACTCCTTCCGCTTCCCCGGAGGTTTCCGCTTCGCGACGAAGCCGCACGCACGGTTTGCGTTTCCACGGCGACGTTTCAGGAAGACGCGACCGAAGGAGTCGAAACAGAAACGACGACAGAGGTATACACGAGGTACACCCATACCTGTCGATTAACGAGCGTAGACACGGTTTGGTTACACGAAGGCGAGACGGAGAGACTGTATAAATTGATAAACACCCTGGCGGAGACTTTGCGAAAACGCTACGATCCGCGTCGAACGAGCAAACTGCGTCACGCGTCTTTCGAACGTCCATTTCGTGTCGCCAGCTGCACGCTCCCGCCATTATCGTCCCGCTGGGGTGCATAGGAGATTAGAGCGAACTGTGTTTTTTCTGTCGCGACTGGTCGTCTACTCGTAAAAACAGGGTTGCAATAGCAACATTCGATGTTACAGGGGTTGTTTCTGTAGTGGTAATAATTTCCTTGAATTCATTTTTTCCCTTTTTCTTGATCAAAATTCTGTAGAAAGAAATACGAGTGGTCCTATCAACCGTACAAATTTGTTCAGGGCAATGAACGTTAACGTTTATCGGGCAGGGTGCCTCCGCGTGGCTGCCACTTTAAAACTTTAATGTTTCCCCCGGCGTGACTCTTCGAATTGCTTTACGGTTTCATTCCCAACAGCAACAGCACCGACTGTGCTTCGAAGCTTTGTAAAGGGGATCCTTATTCAGCTTCGTTCTCGCGTCGCCTTCTCCACGGCCATCGTCTCGCATTAAAGCATTTAACTTGGTAACCGAGCAGGACGAGCCCGGTAGACTCCTGACTCGCGACAAATATTTGTACTTCGCGTTGCGCTCGGGGACCAGTGAAAATTTCATTAAAGCAGAGTTCGTTTACCATCTTACTCGATCCCTTTCCCACGAATCGCAACGGAACCGATCGACCTCGCGTTCTCTCGCGTCGATCGCAATTAATCGCGCGTCGAGGTAACGTAAAGACAAATAAATAGTCGCGAGCGAATAAGCTGCTCGCGAAGATGAGTCTCGCGCGTGTGATTTACGCACAACAAATCTTCTAACCCATCGGTACGCGTAGGTCGAGCAGAGAGAAGCGGTAATGGGCCAGTGGCCGACAGAGAATAACAAATCATACATACTCATGGCGGGTAGGTTAAAAGTGCGCTTAAATCTCGCTGGAATAATGGACTTCCCGTCGGTATTAATAACGATAGCGAGCCGCGTCTTCGTTGTTTCTAATGGAGTTTTAGATAGAAAAAAAAGAAACACACACGCACGGAACAGGATCTACGAGAACCTCCCCAACGTTATCCTTCTTCATCTTTTCGTTCTACAACAGGACATCCTTTTCTATTTTCTTACCCACGGTGCTTGGAGTCGCACGGAACACGTGGCCGGCGTCACTTTAAACAACTTCCTCGTCTCCCTTGGGCCGTGACGCGAGAGAAACGCATCTTCTTTGCGGCTTCTTAATGCCCTGCGAGCCTCATAAAGGGTCTAATTGTTTCGAGGGTTCGTCGAAAAAGGGGGCGGAAACGGTGCTGAAAGTAAATTGCTTCGAGGATTGTTTTCGATTTAGCTGTTTCCTGTATCGGCTAGAAACAGAAACAGACGTCTTTCCAGCGGAAGAATAATGAATTGTTTGAGTTGAGTAAAAATTGTGAGGATCGAGCGATGATTCATCAAGAAGGAACAACATTTAAGGGAAAAACTCAACCATTTCGCCAACGAATTCGTTGGCTTTGTCGAGCATACGTGACGTTGATGTAATTTCTGTTCTTATCTTAACGGCAAATAGTATATGATGAAAAGAGATATTTAATTATGCGATTTCAACGTTGATAAAAATTAAAATTGCACGTTAAGGCGATGATTGGTGCGTTAGCCATTACCGTACGTTGATTGTGTGGGTATGAATGATTACGACTATTTTATGATTGATCGAGCCGATGTTTGATTTTGTGATTGATAATACGGAGGATGGTTTCACGATGATGAATCATTACGTACAATTAATTTTTACGCGTTCTGGATAATAACTGAATATAATATTCGCCTATTACTCATGAAACGCTAGAGAACGCTCTATCAATTTATGCAATTTCGTACAATAAAGCATTGGTTCTTTTCATCACGTACATTCCATCATTATCAACGCAGTTAAATCAACGATTTTAACAAGCTTTACACCCTTCCGAGATTAATTGGTAATTCAATTTTCAAGGATGTAGAACATCAACATGGCCATTTATCTTACGTTCCGTCTATCTGCACGCTGATCAGCATCGAATCCCCTCGAATCCGCTAATCTGATCGATTCTTTCCCTCCCATGGAACGAACCTGTTCTATCTATCAAGAAAATTACTGGATATCTCGAAACCGTTGTCGCGTAACAGTGTACGTTCTGTAACATAACTACACGAATGTGTGTCCAACCATCCTGTGAAACAGTTTCCAAACTTAGCTCAAGGGTTAACCGTGTACACAAATTCCCCTTTGATTCTCCGTTTCCTCTCGATACACCGAGGTTTCCACTCGCATCTCACTCTCGCGAGAGTAA